CACGTGTTGACAAAATTACATTGCTCCTGAGTGGAAGAGGACAAATAAATTCAGAATTAATAAGTGAATGATTTTTAAAAAAACTTTAAAAAGAAAAACTGGATTACACCTAGCATCTCGAAAGAAAGCTTTGAAGTTCTAGGGAAATATTGATCACATATATGGGGACATGAAAACAAACAAAATGTTTGAAAGGGCACAAGGCATTTCCTATTTTGTTTTAATTTAAACTCCACATAAACTAAAGGATCATGCAAGATGACAAGAATTACAACTACTGTACATGACTTCTAAAATAAACTAGAGCAAGAGATTCTTTTATTTTCTTCCAATGCCAGAGTTCAATATTCCATAATGCTCCTACAACACTCAACAGCTTCAGTAGCACAGAATGCATTAAAGTGAATACAATTCCCTATAAGGCTTTAGTTGTTAATGATGTTAACCACTGAAACACACCCAGAATCCTGCACTTATGTTCCAGCTAGAAAGTGTTTCTGCTCATCTTTAAAAATGAAACCAAGAAGAAAAAATCTCAGTCTTTGACAAACAGCTGTTAAAGAACATTATGGTTATGACAGGTCTGGTCAAGCTCCCCCTGCTGGACGCTGATCAGACTGCTGTGAAGGGCACCAAATGTTGACTCCCATGTGCCCTTAGCTTGCTGGGACTGGTAAGACTTTAGGCATCATCCTAGCTTTGGCCCTCTAGGCATGCACAGACCCAGACCTGTGTCTCAGATTTAATAATTTTATTAAGATAATGTTGAAATAAAAAGAAAACGGTACAGAGTTTAAGCATAAAAGTTTCTGGTTATCAGGAAATAAGGTACAGATTATCAAGGGGTGCGAAATTTGGTTTAGGAACGGGTGGCGTAAGGGATACATAATGTGCAATCTCCCCGATTGGGGGTAAAAGTTTAACCGGTCAAAGTACAGACATTGAGATATGGGGGTATGTTGTCCATATAATGGCTATGTTCAGGTGTGGAGTATAATGAGTGGATACGATGATGGGGATGGATCTACCCTCATTTGGTGGGATTTAATGTTCAGTGAGTTTATGGTTCCAGTTCATATGTTCCAATGGAAAAAGTCTCTCAGTCCCTTTCCCATAGTTGATGCACGATGTCGTACCAGCTCACACCTCCTGGTACTGTCGGTGGCCGGTGACATGTTCGATGTAGATGTCCCTGGACCATCGGATGGTGTCCGAGACCATGAGGTGCTGCATGAGCCGTGCGTAGCGTCGACCGATCCCACAGGTCCGCAGCACACGCTCATTGCAGGGGTCCCAAGCGCCCAGGGCTCCGATGATCAGGGCATTCATCTGCACCTCGTAGTCCTTCGCTCTCAGGGTGTCGGCCAGAGGGGCGTATTTTTCCAGCTTATGAGCTCGGGCTTCCCAGAAGGCCGGGGTCCTGTTCTCGAAGGAGACCGTGATGTCGACGAGGATGATCTTTTTCTGGGCCTTGTCGGTGACTACCACGTCAGGTCGCAACTGGCTGTCAGTACCAGGGATGGCGCAGTTCACGGCGACCTCCCCCAGGCGTGGTGCGATGGCTTTCACTAAGCGGTTCTGGATGGCGTTGGGGCACAGCTGCCAGGGTCTGGAGTAGGGCTTGCAGCTGCACAGGACGTGGGGCAGGGTCTCGTTGGAGTAGCCGCACTTCCTGTAATGCTTGTCTCGGTTCCCGTGGCGGACGGCTCTGTTGAGCGGGACACAGTTGAGCCGGTGCGGTGGATGAACCACCAGTCAGCGAAACGGGTGAAGCCACCCCCGGCCAGGAAGTGGTTGCTGGCGTCCCACTTGCTAGTCAGTTCAAAGGCTTTACACCCTGGTCCGGTTTACGCTTCAGGGCTTCCATGTACAGCGAGTGGATGGCTGCCTTCAGGGTCCTCTTCAGCATGCCACTGGCGCTCGGGGTGATGATGGTGTTGTCCTCAGACCTGATCTGCGGCACTCGGACTCCCAGCTCCTGGCACTCCTCGCACCACTCCCAGCAGCAGCTGATGCGCTTCCCCAGGCGACACGTGGCATTGCGAGCACAGGACCATAATGAAGCGATGTCGCGCCCGTCCCGTCCGAATTCACCATCCAGGGAACCGCTCAGGAAGCTGGCGGTGTCTTGGTTGGAGGGGGCTCTGCCGATCCGCTTCTTTGTTGCATCATGGAGGGCGTTTGCTGCGATGTTCCTTACCATGGCATCGGGACACGTCAGCAGGAGGAAGGTGTGGGTGATCACCGCGATGTCACACAGGTCACCCATGCGGGGGACATTGGCACCACCATGCCTGTGGGCGATATAGACCAGATTGTTGCTGGCTCTCTGGGGAAGGAACAGCCACTTCTTCACCAGCTGCCAGACGATCTTGCCTGCCTTGTTGAGGGGTACCTTCGCCACGGTGGATCCCCTTCGGGCGAACGAGATGCGGGGGATCAGGAAGGTGTTCAGGGCTTTTATCTTCTGCCACGGTGCTAGCAGGGAGGCGTCGATCTTGGCAGCATCCTGCAAGATCTCCTGGATGGTGTCCTCGGGTGTCTGCCGAACACGGAAACCCGTCGGCGTGCCGAGGTGCCGGTACGCCTGCCCCTCTGCCAGGGGAATGACGGGCTCGCCCTGGATCTGGAACCCTGTCGTCTGCACCGAGTCCCTTTTGCTGCCGTTGATGTGGAGAGATGCGCGCTTCTTTGCATTGAAGCGAAGCCCCATCCAATCGGCAGCTCGACTGGTGGCATCTAGCATACGTTGGAGGTTCTCTGGGTCATCCGCGGTCAGGACCAGGTCATCCGCGTAAGCCAGGAAGCTCATCCTCTCACCATGGAGGTTGAAGCCATCTGTGCCATTGGAGATTGCTTGCAGCAACGGCTCCATGGCAAGGTTAAAGATGATGGGGCTGAGGGGACAGCCCTGCTTAACTCCGCTCTGGATCGGGATCTCAGCGGTCTCCCCTTCGACCAAGCAAATGGTGGTGCTGCATCCCTCGTACACCTCTCGGATCACACGGAGGAAGTTCTCTGGCATCCCAAACTCCTAGAGTGTGGCAAAGATGTGGTGGTGGGGCATGGACCCAAAGGCCTTAGCCAGGTCGAGCCATGCTACCGTGCACTGCCTCCGCGCCCTTCTGGCCGTTTCAATGATGGTTTGGAGAACAAAGTTGTGTTCATAGCAGCCCTCGCAGGACATGAAGCCTTTCTGGGTGGAGCTGATGGCTCCCCCGCTCACCGACCACTCCATGATCCTCGACGCCAGGCAGCTGGCATAGAGCTTGTACATTGTGGAGCAGAGGGAGATGGACTACTCTTGGCAGGGGACCCTGCAGACCAATTATCTAGGCCTTAAAATTCGTGCCGCCTCCCCAGCAGCTCTATCACATTCCCCAGAATCTCACCAGAGAAGGAACCTTCTGGTTTACAAGTTCTCTCTTTAAGGGTACATGACAGTGAAAGCAAACAGACAGACTCTGTACAGGATTCTAAACACAACTGTTCTTTACTAAGTTAACATGAGAAATACACAGATCTATACACATGCTTCAGATTCCTCCCTACTCTGAAGAATTCCTTTGGCTTGGGCTGAGCTGTCCACGATCTTTCCCTTGCAGCTCATGGTTTTTCTTCAGGCTCCTGGAACCTTTCTATCTGAGCTGACCATCTCTGACCTTGGCTGGTCACCCAGAACAGACCACCTGCCACAAAAGCCTACCCATCTCTTCCTCTCTCCTGACAAAGCTTCCTGTTTATCCGATAGTCTCCTGAGTTTATCTACCCCCATACCAACACCTTGGCCCTTGGTTCTCTTCTTGGGGATTTTCCATTCCCCCTGCAGAGAAGATGGAGGGACTAGCTTACTTTGCTTAGACATCCTCCTTTGCATATCCATTGTCCCAAGATGGTTCTACCTGAACAGGCGACCATTTAATGATCTAATAAACCACCACAGTAACTGGACTGGGATAAATGTGCTACAGTCCCTCTCAGCAAATGGTGAATTCACCATTCACTGAGGATACACTTGCCATAATACAATAATCCATAACAACAGCTTTGTAACACCGTCCAGAATTCATGTGTTGTACATAGACAGATTCCCCAAGTCATCACACTGGTGCCTGAAGATGATCCTCCAAGATACAGTGGTGTGTGTAATAAGTTTCTAACATAGATGGGCATTTACTAGAAATGCTCATGAGCAGGTATGTTTGATTTTGATCTGGAGAAAATTCAGCCATTTGGCAGCATTACCACCTGCACTCCACAAAGTGAAATTTGAGGAAACTTTTTCAGATGCAGACTGGTTAGGATTTGTGATAGTGAAGTTATGAAGCTACCACATATAAAAGTGACTGCCCACAAGATTTCAACCTAGCCAGTGAAGAGCCCACTATGGTAATCCAACATTTTCCATAATAAGGGGCAAAGAAAACAAAATCACAGGTTCTTCCTCCAAATATAACACACCTTGTAGGTCTTCAACAAAATATGCTGCCAATCCTAACAAATTAAGATTTGTAGTTTCTTGGTTACATTTGTCTTATCACTATGCTTAAGGAACAATCACCATATCTGAACAATTCAGAGGTCCTTGCCCCAGATCTGTTAAAAGGAAATGATAACAGGTAAATAATTCAGTAATATAAGGGTAGATATGTCCTACGCTAATGATATAGACACTGTAAAGGAAAGAAGATTTCTTATATATTTCTGTTCTTGTAACATCACATTTCTCTACTTTTCTAATAAGAGACTACAGTTCTCCATAAATAGATAATATTCAAACAGCTACTTGCTACAGCATGACAGAGGGACTTCTGCACCAGGTAGGAGGTAAAGAGAGTTTAGCATAGGCCTGAATTGTAACAATGCCAAGACTGATCCCTTCAGATACGTTGTTTTGACTACTTCCTGGTATAGTTACAATTCGGGACTACGCCAAACGCTGTTCACCTGCTACCTGACGCACGGTCCCTCCACGTCCCGGACGGCCCAGCACCACTTACTCTTGTTGAGCGGCTGGGTGAGCTCGGCCCCGATGTCCCCCTCCGGGCTCGGCCCCAGGGGCTGCACGTGCAGGGGCACGAACAAGGAGGTGTCCAGGGCTCTGCCGCCGTTCCCCTCGGACGAGGAGGAGGAGGAAGCGGCAGCGGCCCGGCTCGGGTGCCGCAGGCCCCCCAGGCCCCGGAAGGCGGCAGAGGCGGCGCCGGCATAGCGGGGCGAGAGTCCCAGGTGGGGCGGCAGCCGGGACAGTAGCCATACGCAGCGATACATAGACGCAACACCCTCCGCTCCGCCGGCAACTGGCGGCGCGGCCCGACTGCGTCATCACAGAGTGACACAGGCCCCCGATCAGGGCTGCCCGGTAAGGTGCCTGAATGGGGAAAATATTAACAAAGATGGCAACAGCCCCGCCAGGCTTGCTATGCATCCAGAGGGAGAGGAAATGCTGAACCCGGCGGCGCCCCTTCCGCCAATACCCGGCCCGAAACCCTCCTTGGTCTCTAACACGGGGACGGCCAGGCAGGCAGGCCTGCCGCCGGCGATTAGCGATGACGAGATTAGGGTAGAAGGGCCCAGGGCGGGGACTTGCCTGGGTGTCAACAGCGAGCCCCAGCAGCAGCGGCGCCAGGCTGGCGGCAGGGGGAGCGCTCGCGGGCAGGGGCGGCCTGCTACCCCTCGAACTGCCCCGTGCTGGCTCGTGAGATGCCTGGTAGCGACGGGCTGGGGCGGCGTGCCCGGGATCCGCTCAGGCTTGCCAGGACTCCAGGATTGCCTTTGAGTCTCCAGGACTTAAATCTAAATCGCCAGGAGACTGCTGAGAGCAGCCGGGGCCAGAAGTCCCAGGGCACTTCGAAAATGCATATTGAATGGTGAATCCAGTTGATACAGTGGTCCCGCCGGGGTTTTAAGTGCCATGGGAATGTGCATTTGCCTGCCCCACAGGTGCACTGTGCGTGCATTTCTTCATCTTGTGTGATTGTGTTTTGTCATGACGTGCAGTCTGTGCAGCGTAACTGATACATGCACGCACGCAGGCACGTTTGCGTTGTCTGGGTCACTTTAGTCTACGCTCCACTGCAACTGCCTCGCACTTTCCGAAAAAGAGAACAGAAATGGATGAGGGTGAGGGCTCCTCGAAACACAGCAGCTCTGAAGGTATCGTAAAGAAGAAAAAATACTATTGTTGTTACAATGACAACTGGTGTAAAGACCCAGACTATAAAAACTGGCTTCGCAAAGTCGATGAATTTACAGCAGAATGCATTTTGTGTCGTCAAACATTTTCCATTAAATATGAAGGGAGACGAGCTGTTAACATCCATGCAGAATGTACAAAACACAAGGAAGCTGTGAAAAATCAGAAACGAACTCCTCAGATTGCATCATTTTTTACAAAAAAGGACGCACCTCAAGTAAATCTAGTGACGGCAGCAGAAATTGGAGAAATTTACCATGGTGTGGTTCATCATTTAAGTTATGCTAGTCAGTGCGGTAACAATATGCTTCCACGGTTTCTACCGGATTCAGAAATTGCAAGAAAAATGTCTTGTGGACGGACAAAAGCAACTAGCATTACTGAGAATGTTTTGGCACCAAAATCGCAAGAACTTTTGCTAAATGATCTTGAATTAGCAGGGTTTTTTTCAGTTGGATCAGACGCCTCTAATAAGGGAAGTAGGAAGTTTTTCCCAATAACTGTTCGTTATTTTTCCAAGACAGAAGGGATTAAACATGGCTTGCTTGATTTTTACCACGATAATGATGAGACAAGTGAGGCCATTGCTGCACGCATTTCAAATATTATAGAAGAAAACGGCCTCAGTATAAACTGCGTATCATCTTATGTGGCTGATAATGCATCTGTTAATTTTCAGAAACACAGGTCAGTTTGTCAGAAGCTTAAACAATTGAATGATAGAATTATTGAGGTTGGATGCAAATGCCATGTAATTCATAACTGTATTAAAAATGGCATGAAAGCTTTGAGTTTTGACGTTGAAAGTCTTGTCCTGAAAGTATATAGTGAGTTCTCTTCCTCTGCTAAAAAGGCAGAATCTCTCAGTTCATTTTTTGAATTTGTAGAAATTGAGTACAAGGAACTTCTGCATCATGTACCAACTAGGTGGCTGTCCCTTCTGCCTGCGATAGAACAAGTCCTACAGTGCTGGCCTGCATTAAAGGCATATTTCATATCAGAGGGGGAAGAAGAATGTGTCAAGATTATATGGGAAGCATTCAGTGAGAATGAGCAGGAGTCTCTCCCTCTTTGTTATGTTTACTTTCTGCATAACTTGATGGGAGTATTTTATGAAGCACTCAAAAAGCTAGAATGCAATAATGCCAGCTGTACAGAATTAGATTGTGTCATGGAAAGTCTTCACTCTAAACTAAAGAGAAGGAAAGAGGATAACTTTTATGGAAGATCAGTTCAAGCTATTTTGTGCAATGTCTCTCCATCTAATAAGAGGAAATTTAAGGAGGAAGCAGATAAGGCATTTTCAAGATGCATTACATACCTTGAGAAATGGTATGATTTCAAGACATCTGTTTTCAAACAAATGTCAGTCCTCTCACTGGACAGTGAAGTAAAATGGTCTGATCTTGAGAAGTTGGCTGAAGTTCTTCGCATTGAGATTGATTTTGACAAGCTGTTTGATGATTACTGCGTTTTACAGCAAATAAGAAGAGAAATAATTTCAAAGGAGCAAAAAGTAGATCAAAGATGGGTAGAAGTTTTCAAACAAATTCCAGAAAGTGGAAACAGCCAAATGTTTAAACTTGTATCTTTCACACTTTCAATTCCAGTCTCAAATGCATACTGTGAAAGGGTCTTCAGCTTAATGACTCAGCTTTGGAGCAAAGAAAGAAACAGACTGAGTGAAAGTGTTGTGAAAGCAGAGTTACAGGTGCAACTGAATTATAGTATGTCATGTGCGGACTTTTATGAATATGTCAAAAAGTCCCCAGAGTTGCTCAAAGCAGCAAGAAGCCAGCTGAAGTACAGATTTAAGAAGAAAAACTCTGAGCAAAGGCACTCTGCTACAGAAGACCCAACTTCTATAATGTAAATACAGTAATACTTGATTATAAGTCTAATCAATGAGTTTTTGCTGTACCTGTCATTTTCTAATGGTTTGGTATTTTATTTTCTGTATTTTTAAATAATGGAATTAACTAACGCACATATACACACAAACATTTAAGCATGCGTTAACAAGCAAAGTAACCTAAACCCGATCTTGCTATTTAAAAATAAGATTCACATTACAACTGGAGATTTTGTAATATTGTTTTTTTATACACTATGCTTAAAATGTGAAATTGATTCATATGATGCTCCTTATTTCCACCGAGGGCAAAAGGATGGCTCTGCAGTGAATGAGTTTGAGTACAGAAGGTCAGCCATTACTGCTATTACATCATATGATGAAACCTTCCGGAATAGAGCCAAACAGAGCTGGCAACTCTATATCCATCCTGAGCTGGGTGTTCCTTCTCACCTCGACTTGCATCTCAGCAACTCAGGCTTTTCATTGATGGAAAACATAAGCCTGAGCCACAATAAATGCATTTTGTGCCCACAAAAATGTTTAGTTATGCCAGCTGCTGGCTATATTTCAGCCTGGATTGTTACTAATAAACAACCTGATAACTTCTAACCTTTCCTGTAGAAAATAACCCCATTTAAACACCACTCACTCACTGTGTAAAAAAACTTGAGACAATCTTTTGAAACTCCTCCCTAGGTGAAAGACAAACCTTCCTCTCCAAAGGCTGCCAATTTTATAGCCTTGTTTTCTCTTTCAGTCAGATTTCACACAACTTTCTTAACAATCATTTGGAACAATGCATTGTCTGTGATCCACTTGGAAAAGCTTTGAGTTTGAAGGCCAACAATAGTAAAATTCATATCTTTTAGAGGTTTTGTTATGAATAAATGGATTACACCCAAATTACAGGAATTTAAAAATCTCAAATACTAAAGCGTTTTTTGTATATGCAGCTGTAATCAACATTGTACAACATTAAGATTATCAAGTAAAAAGTGCTAACGAAAACTAGGCCTTATATCCCAGTAATTAATCAAATGCAGGCACATGGATGATGAATTAGAGGGGAATTATAAATGCAGATACTGCATTGGGAAGTTTCTGTGAGATTTACAATACATATTTTAATATTTCACATAAGTCAGAGTAGGAGTGGAGCATGGTCAGCAAAATATTCAAGGACAAAGTATTGGGTTAGGATAAGATTTAGGCTGCACTGCTAATCTGGTCGGCTTCAACTGAACTTTATTGAATATTTATAGGTGCCTTTTTTTAGCTTGCATCTACTACATGGAAGCAACTTCAGCTGACAGCTCACCACACGTCTGTTCCAAGGGTCAGACTGAATATACTAACACATGAAAGTATCAAGGCTTCTTGTATAGTTAATTCAGATTTTTGACATGTAAGAGCAATTGAGACAGCTGTTAACAGATACAAGCGGTAAAATAAATATGAAATTTTAAAAATTAGTTATTTTACGTTAAGGAATATGTGTTGTAAAGAAACGCCCCAACTAGCAATTAAAAAGAAGGCCTTGAAAATAACAAGTTTTAAGTCCAGATGGAATGGAGATGGGAGGATGGCTGATTCAAAAAAATAAGATAAAGAAAAGTTTCTTAAAAAAAAAAAAAAAGGCTTCTAAGCGATAAGGGGTGACTGCAAATGGTTTTAAGTAAGTCAAAAAAATCTGTCTTAAAAGGAGCCAGCATGAATCTTCTCACCCTGCATACCAGTTATCTTAACAGTAAACCTATGTGAAGCCATGTGCAACAGAAAAACTGTTGGTCAGCAAGGAAGAGGAAAAGAAAGGTCTTGGGGAGAAAGGAGGTTGTAAATTTTAACTGGATTAAGACGGTCTTAGATTGGTTTTTAGCTGAAGTCAGTAATTAGCAATGACATGTTTGTTAAAGGGTATATTGCTAATACCTGCCTGACCAAGTTAGAGCTGACTAATATGGGTCTAAGCACTCCTGGGTTTAGCCCATTTGTAAGTATCTTGGATCAAATGCTTCTAAATGTTTTCTTACTGTTTGGATGTAGTAAATTTCTTATTAGTTAGGCTTTTGGGGCATGTTTAGAGCAATTGTATAAATACCAGTTGGCCTTTGGATTTAATAAAGGAATTTCTGGTTAAATTAGCATTATAGTAATACACTGCACACAATAATTTCAACACAAGCCTTTGAAATTTAGGTTATGTTACAGGTACAAGGATTGCAGGTTTATTGACAGTGCCACAGTTTAAGGCACCTGCACCTGTATTTCTCC